CAGATTCCCTGCCCCTATTTTGCTTGCATCCTGACTCAACACTATATGTGACAAACAGAACCAGTGTTCATTTTTACCTTCATTCCTTCCTTCATTCATTCATGACTTCTGCTTATTCATCCAGTAAGTATCCATCCAATGTCTACAGAACCAGACCCTATGTTCAGTCCACAGACACAGAGGTGAACCAGGCCACATCCCTGACCTCAGGGAGACATAGCAGAGACGACGACAAACTTGAAAGTCAAGAAATCTATGACAGAGCAGAGGTTGCACACTGTCTGAATACAGTCATGATTTATTTCCATATACATAATGTTTCATTGTTATTGTTTTATTTTTCTTTAAAATTAGTTGACAGCTTTTTTAAATAGGCATTTTTATATAAAATTTCAGATTTCCTTGACCTTTAAGGAATGAACACACTTCCCCAACTCAGCCCGACTGAGGCTGAGTACTGGCAGTCCCTTCAAGTTATAATATCTCCCATCAGCCACAGTCTCCAGCGTTCCCTAATGTCATCCCAACACTGAGTGAGGTCCCACATCAGTTGGGCGTCGCCCTTACTGGTTGACGTTCTTCCATCCAGCCTGCTTTACCCAGTTTACTCAGCTTGCCTTCTTCCTACAAAATTTGTGTCTGAGATGTTTTTTGGTCTGGGCAGCAGAGGGTGCTGTGGGAACACACAGGAGATGTTTCTGAGGCATCTGCTGAATTGCCTTTTAAAGCAGATTTCTCAACAGTGTGGTAAGAAGGGAATCACCTGTTGCTTGCTGTTGTCTATACTTCCTCCATTAGCCTAAACAATGGAGTGCTGGCTCTGCTAGGGAATGGACCTGATGTTTAGTACATACAGACATAATCTTACATCCTGGTCTTTCTAAATCCACCCAGGTACTGTGACTTAGTCACTGAGTATGTATCATCAGTGCTTGGCACATAGTAGGTGACCAACCAGCATTTATTGGATAATTGTATAAGACTATTGTTGTTGTTAAGTGCTGTTGAGCTGGTTCCGACTCATAGAGACCCTGTACAGGGATTCCGAGGCTATAAATCTTTACAGGAGCAGAAAGCCTCATCTTTCTCCCGCAGAGCAGCTGGTAGTTTCAAACTGCTGACCTCAAGACTCGCAGCCTGATTCATAACCACTACACTACCAGAGCTCCTTTGGATAAGACTATAGTGAATAGTGAAAGTTCTTACTGCGCTCTTCCGAGGGGCAGGCAAACTTTCAAACACCTTACATGAATATGTCACCAGCAATTATCAATACATCTTGATTGCATATCTGATCAATTTCAGACTGAAGAAGCTGGTTGTTGCTGTTCTTAGGTGCCATCAAGTCAATTTCGACTCATAGCAACCTCACACACAACAGAACAAAACAGTGGTCAGTCCTGCGCCATCAATATTCTAGTGCTATCTGACAGTGTTCTAATGCTAGTTTTCAGTGGCTAAACATTCAGAAGTACCCAACCTCTCTTTCTTCCTACTCTGGAAGCTCTGTTGAAACCTGTCCACCATGGGTGAACCTACCGGTGTTTAAAATTACACAGCCACCACAGTATGGCAAGTTGATGGGTGAGAAGGCTGGAAACAAAGAGGAAATATCAATAAGAAATATGACCTTGGTGAAATAAATGATGTTGAATACTATTGTTGTTGTTGTTGTTGTTGTCAGGTGCCATTGAGTCGGAACCGACTCATAGCGACCCCATGCACAGCAGAACAAAAAATGTCTGATCCTGGGCCAACCTCACTACCGCTGCCACACTTGATGCCATCAATGATGCCAACTGGCCTATCCATCTCATTGGAGGTCTTCCTCTCTTTCTCTGACCCTCCATCTTACCCAGCATGACATCCTTCTCCAGTGACTGTTTCCTCCTGACAATATGTCCAAAGTATGAGAGACGAAGTTGAATACTACACAATAGAATTTTGCAAGACCAATGACTTCTTCATTGAAAATACCTTTTTTAAACAACTGAAAAGGTGATTATAAACATGGACCTCACCAGAAAGAATATACAGGAATCAAATTGACTATATCTGTGGGAAGTTGTTGTTGTTGTTGTTAAGTGCCATCAAGTCGGTTCTGACCCATAGCGACCCTGTACAGGGTTTCCGAGGGTGTAAATCTTTACGGGAGTAGAAAGCCTCATCTTTCTCCCACAGAGAGGCTGGTAGTTTCGAACCGCTGACCTTAAGGTTCGCAGCCCGATTAGTAACCACTACACTACCAGAGCTATCAAATTGACTATATCTGTGGGAAGAGATGATGGAAAAGTTCCATATCATCAGCCAAAACAAGGCCAGGGCAGACTGTAGAATAGACCATCAATTGTTTCTATGCAAGTTCAGGCTGAAGCTAAAGAAAATTAAAACAAGTCCACAGGAGCCATGCTTACTCAATTTTATTCAATCTGTATACTAAGAAACTGGATTATATGAAGAAAAGTGTGGCATCAGAATTGGATGACGATTCATTAACAACCTGCAATATGCAAATGATATAACCTTGCTTGCTGAAAGCAAAGAGGACTTAAAATACCGATGAAGTATTTTAAAGACTACAGTCTTCAGTATGGATTGCACCTCAATGTAAAGAAAACAAAAATCTTCACAAATGGAATAATAAATAACTCATAATAAATGGAAAAAAGACTGAAGTTGTCAAAGACTTCATTTTGCTTGAGTCCACCATCAACACTCATGAAAACAGTAGTCAGGAAGCCAAACAATGTATTGCATTAGGCAAATCTGTTGCACAAGACCTCTTTAAATTGTTCAAGAGCAAAGATACTAGTTGAGGACTAAGGTGGGTCTGACCCTAGTCGTGATATTTTCAATAGACTCTTATGTATGTGAAAGTTGGACAATGAATAAGGAAGACTGTAGAAGAATTGATGCATTTGAGTTATGGTGTTGGAGTAGAATATTAAAAGTACCATGGACTGCCAGAAGAACAAACCAATCTGTGTTAGAAGAAGTACAACCAGAATGCTCCTTGTAAGCTAGGTTGGCCAGACTTCGTCTCTTATACTTTGGACATATTATCAGGAGGGACCAGTCTCTGGAGAAGAACATCATGCTTGGTAGAGTAGAGGGTCAGCAAAAAAGACTACCAACAATATGGATTGGCACGGTGGCTTCAGCAATCAAATGTAACAGTTGTGAGAATAGTACAGAACTGTGTAGTGTTTCATTCTGTTGTGCATAGAGTCACTATAAGTTGTAATAGACTAATGACAGCAACATGAATACCTCAGTTATTCCTCATAAAACAATGAGTAGGTGCTGCTATATATAATTTTTTTAATAATGTAAGTGAGGCACAGAGAGATTTATCAAATTGCTTAATGTCATACCTTGAGTCTGAACTGTTGTACAGAATGTGCTTAGGACCAAGGGGTAGCATACAGGGGCTATCACAGACTTTCAGACAACAGGGTGGTCAGTAGGTTCTGAGGCATTCAGGAAAGGCCACATGAAGAGAGTAAACAGAAGGATTGGTAGAGGTAGAAGAGGATAAGCATCTTCTCTGATGGAAGGGAAGAATCTGGGGAGAGCAAGAAGGTAAGGGAAGATGTCCACAGGTCTTCCATACACCCTTCCTGGGGTAAGGAAGGATATGTAATTATCCATCTAACATGAGCGTCTTTCAGCTGGGTTACATGCTGAGAGTGTACAAACATTAATAAGAATCTCCTTACAGAGTCCCTGGTTAACATACTTAACTGCTAACCAAAAGGTTGGAGGTTCAAGTCCACCTAGAGGCACCTAGGAAAAAATTCCTGATGAGCTACTTCCCCAAAATTAACCATTGAAAACCCTTTGGAGCACTTTTCTGACATACACAGGATCACCATGAGCCAGAGTCCTGGTGTGGCGCTGTGGGTTAATGTGCCAGACTGCAAAGTCGTTTGAATCACAAGGTCAACAGTTCAAGCTCACCAGTAACTTCTTGGAAACCCTATACAGGGTCGCTATGGGTCAGAATTGACTCTACAGCACTTAACAACAACAACAATAGATGACAATTGAGGATTTGCAAAAACCTATTGGACATAAGCAAAATGGGTCAATAACTTTACTTCAGGAAAAGAAGTGTTGAAAGCCAACAGTGGTGTGAAAAAAAAATCAAAACAACAACAGCATCAAACACCACAGAGTGAGAGGGAGGAAGAGATAATATCCAATTGGCAAAACCGGAGTGGGTTTCCTAGAAAAGGGAGTCTTTGAACTGAGTCAAAAAGGAGGGGTCACGTTTCACCCTATAAGATGAGGGAAAACATTCCTGAGGCAAAATTGACAGGAAAAAGCTAGAATCATACAGTGAGGTAAGCACTGTGTGCCTATAATGGGAGTTGAGAGGAGTTGGCCAGAGGCCTGTAGAAGGGAAGGAACCATCTTGCCCACCAGGATGCTATATAAAGTTAGCTATCCCCTAACTAGATTGTATGTTATTTGATGGCATGAACCCCACATTGGCAACAAGATGCAGAAAAGCAACGCTAAGAAACACCTATTTAGAAACATAATCACCCTAAGAATCTCTCACTCTAACTGTAAGATCACCAGAATCATCTTTAACCAGGACCCAGGGTATCTAGACCCAGTTCCTGCTGTTTCCAGGTATGACACTGTGAGTTAATGCGCTGAACTGCAAAGTTGTTTGAATCACAAGATCAGCAATTCAAGCTCACCAGTTGCTCCTTGGAAACTCTACACAGAGTCGCTATGGGTCAGAAACAATTCAACAGCTCTTAACAACATGTGACCTTGGTAGGCCCCTATCTGGGTGTCGATTTCCTCATCTTCAAAGAAGGGAGCAGACCTCTCTGAGGGTCCATCTAATCCTGGTTGATACTCTATGAATCTAAGAGCCCCAGTCAACCCCTAATCCTCCTGAAAGCATTTATCATTGTAACAGGCAAGTAGCAGGGAAGGCTCAGTCATGCAAAGCAGTTAAACCTCTTGTTGAGCTGAACCACATGGCCGGACTGCTCATATGGGTGAGCAGAAAGGGTCCGGGACTCCATGGGTTCTCAGCCCACCAGTTACTGGCTACTTCAGGTGTGACAGTGCCCCACACCCTCAACAGGGCAGGGGAAGTGGTCAGAGGAGAAGGACTCTTGCTCCGGGAAGCCAAGGGACTAAGATGGAAAGGAAGTGAACTAACTACCCAGCTTCCTCCCCAACCAGCTCTAGGCCCAGTATCAATGTGAACACTTCCTGTCCCACCCCAGGCCCCAAGCTACCTTCCTGGCAGTGACAGCCCAGCTCAAGGTTACCAAACTCCTCACTTGTGAAGCAATCATCCCCAAAAATGGGATGAGTATCCTAGCCAGGGTTTGCCTATAAATGCTGGCCTTGCTCTGCCTCATCAAACACCTGTGTGGTTCCTCAGTGTGGTAAGTGAACAGACGATGACCCTGAGTCAGGAGTCTGTATCCAATTCTTTCTTTCCTCTCCCAATCAAAGTTCTCTATTCCTCTTTGATTGACCCCACCGACTTTAAAGGTTCCTTCACATTTTCTTACGTCATGTTTCTGCTAGAGCCTCTTGCCTGCCCTCAAATACTATGTTTTTGGGGCATTCCTTATATATTCTATGGAGTCCTGGTATGGCACTGTAGGATAAGCACTGAAAGGTTGGGGGTTCAAGCCCAACAGCCACTCCTTGGAAACCCTATACAGGGTCGCTATGAGTCACAACTGACTTGACAGCACTTAATAACAATGACAACATGTATTCTGAAAATTATTTTGCACATGTGTGCACCAGGGTCATCTCCCAGTTAAGCAGCAGCCTGTTTATGTGTGTATGTGTGTGCATTGCCCCCTTCCTTCTTGCAAGCAATCAGTGGGAGGCACCAAGCAAGTTCACAGCCTTTTCTTCTAAGCATTCTATCCCTTGATCTTCCTCCATTATTCAGGCAGAGCGTGAGAACGTGGCAGGCAAAATGTCACAGATGGAAAAGAGCATAGAGACCATCATCAACGTCTTCCATGCATATTCAGTGCGACTGGGGCACCCAGATACCCTGAACCAGAAAGAATTCAAACAATTGGTGAAAAAAGAATTGCCAAACTTCCTCAAGGTAAGACTGTACTCCTGGCAGGCTGGGCTCAAACAAGGGGGCAGAAGGTGCTGTCTGCCATGGTCATAGAGAAAATTCTAGCTCTTTCCATTTAGCCTGCAGAGGTAGTGAATGTCCTCCAATTCAAAGTTAGACCATACCACAGTCAAGAGAGATGACTGTATATCTGTTATATGTTCAGACTTGTTCTGGACATGGAGACGCAGTGATAAAAAGGAAGTAGCCTTACCCCAATGTGGTGAAACATACAATGAAGATGTTGATAATATATAGCAAAGATAAATATGTTGTTGTTGTTGTTGTTATGTGCCGTTGAGTCGGTTCCGACCCATAGCGACCCTGTACAGGGTTTCCGAGGGTATAAATCCTTACGGGAGTAGAAAGCCTCATCTTTCTCCCGCGGAGCAGCTGGTAGTTTCGAACCGCTGACCTTTAGGCTCGCAGCCCGATTCGTAACCACTACGCTACCAGAGCTCCTTATATAGGTGATGAAAAGTGCCTTGAAGAAAGTAAGATAGAATATTGATTTAGAATAGATGGGGTAGAGGTGAGTTAGAGTGGACAAGAAAGGCCTCTTAGAGAAAGTGACATTTGAGCTGAAATCTGAATGGTGAAAAGGGAGATAACTGGGGATGACTCTTGTCAAGAAACTGAGGGGATTCCAAGCTTCAGATGGAAGATGTGTGAGGGGTTTTCTAATCCCAAAGTTCTATAATCAATAAATAGTATTTGGGGAAATCCTCAGCCCAGAGACGGCATGTAGAAAGCATTCTGTAATTATGAGCTTCATTCCTTGCCCTCAAAATGACTGGGCAATTCCTGAAGAAAGGGGAATTTGTTCCACCAGCCTTTTTTGTTTTCTTTTTACCCTATGAATTTGGGGGAAGCAAAGGCCTACTCTAAGAGAGATGGGACTCCTGGGTCATGTCCATTTCTGGAGCAGGATACCCTGGGCTAGGTCACCTTTCCTCTTTGGTTTCTTCTCCACCTTGGTGAGGTGGAGAAATGTAGCAGTAAGAGGTGTTGCAGATGCTGACAGCAAATCTCAGGCAAGATGAGCACATCAGAGTAGACAGATAGGATACAGTTAGGAGGCCAGGAGTCTCTTGGACTTGCTGGGCAAGGTTCTCCTGTGTGTGACCCCACACTTGCACCCCTACTTTGTCCCTGCCCCTGCAGAAGTAAAGTGATAGGCTAAGGAGGGTAACAGGGACTTGGCTATGAGGTGTTCAGGAATGAGTATTCTGACCAGGCAATAGCAGAAGTCCAAAAAAGACCAGGCTATTGAAATACTGTTGAAGCAGAAGGGGTCCTGAGAGATCAGTCAGGTACCCCGAGAGTTTACAGATGAGGCCATCAGGCCCAGAGATGGCAAGGAACTTACCTGAAGTATCCCAGCCAGTGAATGGCAGAGCTGGAACTTTTGTTGTTGTTGTTGTTGTTGTTAAGTGCCATCAAGTCTGTTCCAACCCCTACTAACCCTGTCTAGGGTTTCTGAGGAGTGGTTGGTGTATTTAAACTACTGACCTTGTAGTTAGTAGTCCAGTGTTTATCCTACAGCCTCACACCAGGACTCCACTAGAACCTGGTTTTGTCTGATGGCACCTCTTCCTACCACACCTGGATCATTTTAGTTTGCCTCCTGTCACCTCTTATATGCGCTTAACACACTTTGGTTTCAACAAAGTATCCATACTGCTTTCTGCCTTGACCCAAAATCCCCTACCATTTTGTTTCCTAAGATGCTCCCCTACTATACAGATGAAGTTTCATTAATTAGCTACCTGGGGTTGGAGCAAAAGAAGAAAACAGAGAGGAGTTAAGGGCATAAGACAAGACTGCATTGTGGAGTCATAACTGAGTTTGAGTTTTCCTTCTGCTTACAAACCTTGTCAATCTGAAAGAAAAAAAAAAAAATTAACCTTTTTATGACATAGTTTCCTCAAGGATGACACAAGTGCTATCTGTTAAAGTTGTTATAAGGACCCAATAAGAGGTCCTTTCTGTCATGTGACCTTGGGCAAATCACTGGTCCTCAGCTGCTTCTTCTGTACATGGAGATAATGATAGAACCTAAACGTCAGGGTTGTGTGGGGGATAAACTGGGAAATGTCTAGCACATGCCTGGCATCTGCAATATTGTGGGCACTCAGCCCACGTTTTTAATATTTAAGTTGAGCCACAGGGGCCAGGTTTCCTTATGCATTTGCCATCTGTCATTTGCTATGTGTCTCAGGCCTCACCCTGGCCACACTATGCCCTGACTGTCCTCTCTGCCCCACCTACAGAAGGAGAAAAAGGATGACAAACTCATCAATCATATATTGGAGGACCTGGACACCAATGGAGACAAGCAGTTGAACTTCGAGGAGTTCTCCATCCTGGTGGGGCGGTTGACCGCAGCCTCCCATGAAGAGATGCACAAAAATGCTCCTCCAGGAGAGGGCCACAGCCATGGGCCAGGCCTTGGAGAGGGTGGTCATGGCCATGGCCACAGTCATGGTGGTCATGGCCACAGTCATGATGGTCATGGTCATGGCCATAGTCACTAATCTGGAGGCCGGGTGCCCTTTCCTGGGACCGGCCAAAGCTTTGGCTTATGGGAGCAATGGAAATTATTTCAGTCCCACAGTTTTCATGTCACATGACCTTACCAATGTGTCTGGGACCTAGGGGTGAATAATAAAGTCTTCCTCCAAACCAGTGCTCTGTGTGCTTCTTCCACCCATCCTTGTCCCCACCTGTCCTACCCAGGGGTCTAAGCGTTGCATAGCCCCTTCATCTTAGCTACAGTCCAGCGGCTTCATTTGGTAATAAGAATAAGAAACAGAAGCAATGTGAGTTCACCTTGCGCTCATTTGTATGACAATTCCTCACCTCTAACTTCAGGCCCCACTGCTCAGATCAGGAGCTCCCTGGTCTAGCCTGCCAAATTGACCCTTGTCACTGCAGAAGGCAAAATGGGAAGGGCAATGTTCCAGCTACCTCCCCACCCAGCCCCAGCTCTAGTCCCCTCTTCACCCAGTGCTATCTATACAGTCATCTCTTTCTTCTGGAAGTTTCCAGAAACGGATCTCAATATTGGAGTGGGGACTTGGACAGTGAGTACAAGGGCAAATTAAGTGTATTGGTTCAAGCTCACCAGCTGCTCCTCAGAAACCCTATAGAGGGTCGCTATGGGTCAGAACTGACTCAATCGTACTTAACAACAAACCTACAAACTGATTCTGGAATAATCATGTCCAACCTAAGGCTGTAGGGGAGGTTGCCATGATGGGGTAGAAGTCCAGAAGTTTTAGACTTACTGTCACAGCAGGCAGAATTAAAAACAAAAACAAAACAAAACAAAAAAAACAAAACAGGTTCCATGTAGTCTATTCCAACTCATGGCGATGCCACGTGTGTCAGAGTAGACCTGCACTCCATATAGAGTTTTCAGTGTATCACCAGACCTTTCTTCCAAGACCCCTCTGACCTTTAGATTAACCATTGACAGCACCCAGGGACTCCTTCCAGGATGGGTGTTGGGGTGAAAGGAGTACCCGCTGTCAGTCAGTAGACATGAGCTCCAATCCTGGTTCTGCAGACAAAGGGCTCAAGAATCTCAACAAGCAAGTTTCACTTTGGATCCAGAAAACTTCTCAAGCCTGAAAATTTGATTCTAAGTTACCAAGGCAGGCTGACCAATCTGACAGGACTAGAGTTTTCTTCAGCTTCTGGTCAGTAGCTGAGCACTCCAGACATCAAAGACTCTTGCTCCTCTCCACAGAACCTGCAACCAACCTGACACCCCAGCTCCTCAGGTAGAGGCTCCCCATGTCTGATTCCTGTCTCTCCTTCTTCTCTGGCCTGAGAGCGTCACCACAGAATCCCTTCCCAAATTACAACCAGGCCAGGGTGGGTCTTGCAAAGACCAGAACCCAAATCATGGTTCTCAGCCTTGTCCTGTCTTTCAAGCAGAGAGAGGGCTCCCACACAATTAGAATTTGAGGTTCTGGACAAAGATTGACAGGCATCTATTCTCCTGTTTTATAGATGAAGAAATTGAGCATAGAGTTGAGAAGGGACTCGATCAAGGTCATACAGTGGTGGTGGTGGTGGTGTTAAATGTTGTTGAGTCCGTTCCAACTCATAGCAACCCTGTATAGGATTTCTGAGGAGCAGCTGCTGAGTTTGAACTGCCAACCCAGCTGTTAGTAGTACAGTGCTTATTCTACTGTGCCATACCATGACTCCTATACCATGGTGGTGGTGGTGTGCTGTGAAATCAGTTCTGCCTCAGAGCAACCCAGCATAGGGTTTCCAAGGATGTAAATCTTCACTGGAGCAGAAAGCCCCATCTTTCTCCCACAATATGGCTGGTAGTTTCAAACTAATGACCTTAAGGTTAGCAGTCCGACTCATAAGCAATATGCTACCAGAACTCCTTTATATAGTGTTGCTGTTGTTGTTGTTAAGCATTGTCAAGTCAATTCTGACTCTCAGAGACTCTGTATAGAGTTTCCAAGTAGTAGCTGATGAGTTTGAACCACCGACCCTGCAGTTCAAACCAACCTTACAGTCTAGTGTTTTATCCCACAATGCAGTGGTAGAGGTGGACAAAGGAGCAAAGTGAGAAAAAGAGGCTTGATACCATCTTCTCCCCCAACTCTTTTCACGTTGCTGAGAATGCAAAAACAAAAGCTCAGGTAACCACTCTCCCCCACTGCCTGGCTATACCAGGTCCCAATCTGCCTGCAGTTGCCCTGGGAAAACCCCTGCTGTGGATATAAGGATTTAAGGATTCATGCTAGAGGGAATGGGAGTCCTGGTGTGGTGCTGCTGGATAATGCACTGGTCTGCAAGGTTGGTGGTTCAACTCACCTCGAAAACCCTATACAGGGTCACTATGAGTTGGAATCAACTCAGTGGCACATAACAACAACACTAGAGGGCATGAAGGTGTTTCCAGGCTGTGAATTTGGTTAGCGGAGTTTAGAAACCCTGTGTAGCCCTTGCCATGCCTGCCTTGGGGACCTGACATCTAGGGATACTCACCTCCTGACAGCCCTTTTACCTCCACCCTCATGTCTGGGAGTAGCCACCAACTTTATCCCCTTCTCAATGTAGCTCGGTACAGCACAAAGGGAACCAGCCTTGGACTTGAGAGGTCTGGCTTCTATTACTGGCTTTACCAGGGCCAGATGGTTCTGCCCGTCACTACTAATCACTATGTGCTTGTGATTCTGCCTCCACCACTGGACTGTACATCCCGTGAAGGAAAAGTCCTTGGCATTTATATTGTTCTCTGCTTTATTTCTAGCACCTAGGACAGTGCCTGATATACAGTAGGTGCTCAACAAATATTGACTAAATGTTTGGTAATTTCCTACATGTTCTGTGCACTCTTCTCAGGGAAAGATGTGGGAAAGGAGGGAGCAGGAGGGTAGGATTGAAACCAGCAAAGAGAAGATTTCTAGATTATCAGCATAGACTCCTAAACAAGAAGGAATGGGGCCTGAAGTCCCGCACCCACACTCTGTTCAATCAGACTACTTCTGCTGTCATTTACCACATTCTGGAAGTTTCCACTTGAAGAAAGAGATCAGTCCTTTAAAAGAAAGTTTGAAAATTACTGATTTCATCCAACTGAGTCTCAACTCCATCCTGAGTCATTCTCCCTGAACTCCCACCAAGTGGTTGAACTCTTCAGGAAAGTTAATTTCTCCCATTAGTATAGACACTTCAAAAGTTTTTCATTACACTGAGCCAAACTCAGTGACGTCCAAGCATTAATCCTAGTTTCCTTCTCACACCCTAAGAGACACAGAATAAATAAAATTCTTTTTTATTCTTCCTCCCACCCAGCCAGCCAGCCACTTTTGTATCTACTTATTCAAAACACGTACTCTAAAAACATTGAAGTTTTCTCCACTCTCTGCATATTTGTACCAGGAATGGTCTTCCCCATTCTGGTGTCTCTGGTAAAGCCCTTGTGATCCACTAAGACTCACAGCCAGTGCCACTACCCTATCTCAATGAGGACTTCTTTGGCCACTTTTCCTTCTCAAGAATACAGTGCTACCTCCTTCAAACTCCCTAGAATTCTCTCATACGTCTACTGTTGCACTTCAAATATGGAATTATAAACTCTGTCTGCACACTGGACTGTGAACTCCTGAAGGTAGGAACTGTGGCTGATTGCTACCCATCCTCAGGTCTCTGTATAAGAAGGACTTCAGTGAACATGAATGGGTGGACAACTGAAGATAAGATGACCCTAGAACCCTGTGGAGCTGGAGGCTGGGATTATAGCAGAAATCCTCTGAAATGATTGTGACAGTGTGTGAGGTAGGGACGGCTTTGAGAAATAGGTGTTTTACTTGTATCTGGAGTCCTGGACTCAGGAGAGGGTAGACCAGCCAAGTAGCAAGATGGCAGGGATAACAGAGTTTCTTTGATGCTAAGAACTCTACCTTTTCCCTTATCCTCTCCCAGCTCAGCCTGATTATGTAGGATTGTAGTTCTAAACCCAGGGAAAGGTTTGCCAGCCCGTTACTTGCATAGGGCCCTGTGGGACTTTTCTTAAATCACACTTAAAAGAGCAGATCAAAGGGACTTGACCCCTTCCATCCCATTAACTCTTTCTATTCCAAGACACCAGTTCTGTTGAGTAAAGAGAAGTTGTGGTGATTGGTGGTTATGTGTTGTGGAGTCGGTTCCAACTCATAATGACCCTGGAAAGGGTTTCTGAGGCTGGAAATCTTTATAGGAGCAGAAAGCCTCATCTTTCTCCCACTGAAAGATGGTAGTTTTGAAATGCCGACTTTAAGGTTAACAGCCTGACTCATAACTACTCCACAGAGCAGTAGAACTATTTATCTACCTAGAGAGCCAGAACTTCAACCTCAAAGTTACAATTAGTCCCACTACCTGTTGAGAATTAGTGACTACCTCTGTGACTAAGGAGTCCTTTTAGGGAAACAGCATCTTAGTGACTAAAGAACCAGAGAGGATCTGTTCTAGTAAGAGGGAGTTGTCCTTCAGCCTGGGGTTAGCAGTGGAACCTGAACTTCTAGATACTTTTCTGGGACAAACAAAGAAGAAGCAGCTGGTGCCTGATCTACCAAGTTTTGCCCAGACCTTTCCCTAAAAGCTCTTGAATATACTTCTGGTGCCTGAGTGATATGAATTGGCTCCAGAATTTGGGAGGTGGGGGATAAATTAATTCATTTATCCACTCTTTCATTCAGCTGAAGACACACTGTATATCAGACACTGCACCATGCTCATCATATTTATTTATTAGCACTAGGATAAGCACTGGACTGCATTGGACCACAAGGTCAGCTGTTCAAACTCTCCAACCGCTCCTCGGAAACCCTATAGAGGGTTGCTATGAGTCAGAACCGACTCGACGACACTTAACTACAGTGATAAATAATGTTTGACCTGGTCATCAAAGAGCTTCCAGGTTTGCAGGGAAGACAGGAAAGTTCTTCAAATGATTCTAATATGGAAGTGAAAGACAAGGAGGGCTTTGATGTGGGAGTGATGCCCTTCACTAGGGATACCTGCTTTGGGTGGAATGTGTCAAAGAAGCTTCAAGGCTGGGAGCTGTAGATATGCCAGGATGAACATGAAGATGTTTTAAAAGATGAGACCATGTGAGCAATGACCTAGAAGTGGTTAGAAGGGAGTTTGACCAAAAATGAGGAGCACTGAGATGTAAGTAAATGAAGTGGGCAATACAGAGAGCAAGGCATTGGCTACATTCTAGGACCAAGAGCTCACATTTTATTCAGTGGGAAAATGGAGAGTAGAAACAGTGAGGGTTTTAGGGAAGGAAATTATATGATCAGTTTTATGTTATAAATTCTCTCAGTCTGTAGTCTTTGAAGTGAGAGCAAGAATGCAGCCCCTAGACCCACCAGGAGGCTGCCTCAATTGTCCAGGGGAGAGATAAGCAGAGTCTGAAATGGCACTTCTCTGAAAGAACAAGTCCAATCAGGGTGTCACACTACCACCAGCTCCATCTCAATCGCAACCCCTGTAAAATAAATAAGATTTTGTGCTGTTTCCCAAGAACTTGCAGGAAGAAAAACCTCAGCTTTCACCAGCCCAGTGAGGCAATCTTACACAACCCTGACATAAGCCCTGCTCTGAAGTAAACTCCAGAATCCAGCCTCAACACCCTCCCTCCTCCACCACAACAGTTGCTGAAAACTTTTATTTTAGAAAGTCCTTTGTCATGGATTTGGACATTCGAATTACCAAAAGTGACAACAGAACTGAAGCAACCTTTTGCTCAAGTCCTGTTCCTTCTTGAGTCTCAGGTCTATCACCGTTGTCTCTCCCAAGATTCCCCTCAGCACCCTGACAAAGTTAGGCACCTAGTTCCCATCTTCAGAGCTCCCCTTCCAGAATCAAAACAGTGAATTCATCTTTTTCTGTGAGTGCTTCCAAGCTTTTTTTTTCATGGATGTTGCCCCAGTACCCAGAATGACCACATGCAGATTGAACAGTGAGAAAAGACATTGTTGCCAAGACCTGAGATGAGGACAGAAAAGGAGTGTGACTCTCTTAGGCCAGGTGCATCAGGGGTAGTGGGATTCTGAGTTCTGGCCGAAGGCAGCCCCAGCCTAAGTTGGAGTCTATTTCTCTTACCCTGCCTCTCTCTCTCCCACAAACTTCTTAATTTGCCCCTCATTTTTTTTCTCTTCCACCCTTTCTGCATTTTCTCTCTGAGTCTTTTCCTCACTGCTTTTCACCATCCTGTTCTTTGTAGGGTGCAGACCCAAGGACCTGGGATGCTTTTAAGTGAAGAAATACCTTTGCAAGTAACTAGGAGGGAGTGGAATGGAGGGCAAGTCACTGGCTAGAGGGTAGACATATGCCAGCGTGGGTGAAAGGGAAGGCAATATACAGCAAAAGGGAGGTCATCAAAACACTATGTAGGCAAGGGAGGAATGTAAGTTAATAGATGCAAATGTTGTTACAGATGCAATCCTGAAATAATGGTGATAAGGAGCTCTGGTAGCGGGCTGCAAACCTCAGGGTCAGCAGTTTGAAACTACCAGCTGTTCCGCGGAGAAAGATGAGGCATTCTGCTCCCATGAAGATTTTCAGCCTCAGAAACCTCGTACAGGGTTGCTGGGAGTCAGAACCGACTCTGCGGCACATAACAACAACAACATGAGTAGAGGTATATATAGGCACAACAACTGAATAAGTGTGGGAGCGAGAGTGTACTTGGGTATTTAGTTGGGTATTTTCTGTAAATGAATCCATGAATGCCGGGGAGTATACCGGAGACAAAGTTATGAAGACTTCTTAGACATAACCAAACACTTTAAGGGAACGAGTCACTAGGTCTGGGGGCTCAGGGCCATAGCCTTAGAGGACACCAAGGTCAGCTGACAAACATAGGCCAGAAGATAATGTTCTACACCCTAGTTTGGTGAACAGTGACTGAGATCTTAAATACTTGTCAGCTGCTTAGTAAGGTACAACTATCGGTCTCTCCCTTTCTGGAGAAAAGAAGATTGATGAAAATTGAAAACTGGGAAACATTAGTCCATGGACTAATGGATCACACAAACATCACTATCCACGACCTTGAGACCAGAACTAGATGGTATATGGCTATCACTACCAACTGCTCTGAAAGGGATCACGTTAGAAGGTTCTGGATAGAGTGGAAGAAAAATGTGAAACAAACAAAATAATAAAAAATACCAGGCTCACTTGTCAAACTGAGACTATGGCTTAGTCACCTTTCAGATCTGCAAATGAACTCACCCTAATTTTCAATGAAACAATAGACAGGTGTGTAAGAGGAATGATAACACGTGTGAGTTATGCACACCTTAGACTAATCACCATTTGAGATTAAAAAAAAAAACATAAAATCACAGCATTTGTTCAAAAGAGGAATGGAAACAGAAAACACAGGGAGGGAGGGAGCTAAGTGATGGGTGTTACACTGAGGGGCTTGAATCAATGAGATGAAACAAAATGTGTATGAATTAGAATGGAAAACTGACTTGCTGTAACAATAAAAAGTTTTTTTTAAAAAAAAAAGAAAGAAATTACAGTAACTGGAGTCATAATCAGGGATGAATCACCAAAAACAAGATGTTCAGCTTCTGAGACTTCCTTTAATAATGAAAACAGAAAATCACAAGGTGAACAAATTGTTGAAGGGACTAGGGTATTGAACCCTGAAAAGAGAAATAGGTGATCATGATAACTGCTTTCAAGCATTGCCAACATCTGGGGAGACTAATTCACCCCAAAGCAAGGCATCTGAAATCCTTGGTGGTGGGGATGGTGGTGGTGTGACATACAGTTCCAACTCATAGTAACCCTGTGTAGGGTTTCTGAGTTTGTAAATCTTTATGGAAATGGAAGGCCTCATCTTTCTCCTGCTGAATGCTTGGTGAACGCAAACTGATGGCCTTGTGGTTAGAAGCCCAATCAGTGGTAGTGTGACTCATTAGATGCTATGCCAAAAACATAACCACCTGTTCTATATCTCTTGGTTATTTCCCTCAATTAGAAGCAGTAACTCAATTCAACTAAATGAACATTCATTTGTTTATTTATTCATTCAGCAAATATTCATTGAACAGCAACTGTAGTAGGTCAATGTTGCAAGTGCTGTATAAACAAATCAGATAAGACACCTGCTCTCTTGTTCATCTAAGGAAAAATCAGGCAATTAACATAGATATTTTTAAACAGCTATGAGTTCCACAAAGGAGCTCTGGTAGTGTAGTGGTTACGAATCAGGCTGCGAACCTTAAGGTCAGCAGTTCGAAACTACCAGCGGTTCTGCGGGAGAAAGATGAGGCTTTCTGCTCCCATAAAGATTTACAGCCTCAGAACCCCTATACAGGGTTGCCATGAGTCGGAACCAACTCCACGGCACATAACAACAACAACATGAGTTCCGCAAGGAAAAAAAAAAAAAGATGTGTCATGATAGAGTGACTGCTAGGTAAAGTAGGGAACCAGCAAGTCCTCCTTAAGGAGGTAACAATGCAAATGAAATCTGAATGACACAAAGCCTTCTTTATAAAGATTTTATCGTACTCACATTGAAAACTCATTAGAGGGATTTAATAAGGTGAATAACTTAGTAGGACTTATGTTTGAAGAAGGTCATTCTGACTGCTGTAGAGGATGGATTCAGGGATCTAAATTGGAAGTCCACAATCCATCTTTCAGTTTGTACTACGTTAGTGGCCTATGTGTTGGTATAATACTGAAAACTTGCTGTTGCTATTAAGTACCATCAAGTCAGTTTTGACTTATAGTGAACCTATACCCTGTGCAGGGTCGCTATGTGTCAGAACTGACGCCACAGCACATAACAAAAACAACAACATTGCTGAATCACAGAGCAGACCCTTAGGATTTTGGAGCAAAGCCCTGCCATCCTCTGCAGATAACTACTCACTCCTGTCTCATTACCTTCCCTCTCCCACTTTATACCTATGACTTCATTGACTGAGAAAGAGAAAGCTCATGTGTGATTTATAGATGAGTCTGCATAATATGCAGGCACCTCTCAGAAGTGGACAACAGCAGGCCACAGCCTCTTTCTGGAACTACCCTAAAGGAGAGTGGTGAAGGGAAATCCTCCCAATAAGCAGAACTTAGAGCAAAACAAACAGTATCTGGTTGTTTGTTTTGCTTGAAAGGGGAAAATGGCCAGATGTGTGACTGTATACTAATTTATGGGCTGTTTCCAATGATGATCAGGGACTTGGAAGTAACATGATTGGAAATTTGGTGATAAAAATGTGTGCGGACATAGTATGTGTATAGACCTCTCTGAATGGGCAGAAAGTAGTGAAGATATTTGTGTTTCATGTTAATGAAACACTAAAGGATTTTCTTGTCAGAGGAGGATTTTAACAACCAAGAGAACAGGATGATGCATTCTGTGGAAACTAATTATGCTCTTTCTCCAGCCACTCCTGTCATGCCCAATGAGCTCATGAACAAAGTGGTCACAGTGGCAGGAATGGAGGTTATGCATGGGCTCAGCAGCATGGACTCCCACTCACCAAGGCTGACTTGGCTACAGACACTGCTGAGTACCCAATCTGCCAGCAGCAGAAACCAATGCTGAGTCCCAGGCATGGGACCATTCCTCATGGAAATCAGTCAGCTGCATGGGACTACTTCCATCATAGAAATGGTAGAGTTTTGTTCTTACAGGAATAGACACTTGCTCTGGATATGGATTTGACTTCCATCCATGATTTTACATCTTTTCCTCCATCATGGTATCCCATACAGCATCACTTCGGATCAGTGGACTCACTTCACAATAAATGAAGTGTGGCAAAAGGCTGATGCTTGTGGAATTCACTTGCCTTACCATGTTCCTCATCATCCTGAAGCAGCAGGCTTGATTGAAAGATGGAATGAACTTCTAAAGGCACAATTACAGCACCAACTAGGTGGCAATACCTGGCAGGGTTGAGGCAACACTCTCCAGAAAGCTATATATGCTCTAAACCAATAGCGTCCAATATATGATGTTGTCTCTCCAGTTGCCAGGATCCATGAGTCCAGAAACCAAGGGGTGGAAATAGGAGTGGCACCATTCACTACTACTCCTAGTGACCCACTGGAAAAATTTTGGCTTCCTGTCACTGCAACTCTATGTTCTTCGGGTCTGGACATTTTAGTTCAGAGGGGAGGAATATTCCCACCTGGAGACAAAACATTGATTCTATGGAACTGGAAGTTAAGAATGCCCCCTGATAATTTTGCTCACTTCAAGTCTCTGGATCAATAGACAAAGAAGGGAATTACTGTATTGGGTGGTGTGATTGATACTCATTACCAAGGAGAAATTGACTTGACCTTGCATAATGGAGGTAAAGAAGAATATGTATGGCCTCCAGAAGATTCCTTAGGACGTCTTTTAGTGCTACTACCTTGTCTTATGATTAGTCAATGATAAACTACAGCAATCCAATTCCAACATGAAGACTAAAAGCCTAGACCCTTCGGGAATGAAGGATTGGGTCATAGCACCAGGCAAAGAACCACAGCCAACTGAGGTACTTGCTGAGGCCAAAGGGAATACAGAATGAGTAGTTGAAGAAAGTAGTTCCAATACCAGTTACAGCCACAAAACCAGTTGCAGAAACCAGGGCTGCAATTGTTATAAATACATATTGTTTTGTTTTTATGTGTACATCAACAATTTTATTTTATTCATTTGTGAAATATATGATGTAAATGGAACCAGTGCATGTTTGATTGTACACACTTTAGTTATATCATGTTAGGAGCAAGTATGACTTTTCTTTTCTCTTTATTTAGAGATTATGCATAAGCTTATTGGTGCCAAGTTTAAAAGTGATGAACTGTAATAGCTAAGGTTCTATGTCAACCAGGATGCCCAGTTGTTGTGTAGTTGACAGTTAACTTTATGATGATTGCTTATGAGCAGCCATAGTAAACTCTATGATGATTGGTTATGAAATTGAAAGGCTGTTTCCTTGGGGGTGTGGCCTGCTCCCAGTATAATGAACATGCAGAGAGACTGGATTTCTTTTTCCTGCTGGCTATGAATCTCACACCTGGGTTGTCCTCCAACCTCTGGTTTACTGAGTGTGCATAGAAAACTGGACACCCACCAGAGAGCCCTCCCTGCACACCTATTCCTGTTGCACCAGCCTGTGTGCTCTGCTCCACAGGTTCTGCAGTGTGCCTGCCCAGGCATTGGTCACTGTCACCTTGCTGCCACCCCTGCTCCAGCGCTAAGGTCCTGCTCTGTGTTCTGACTTGGGATTCCTGCCTTCTGGGCCTGCCCACCAATCTTGGTTTGCTTGGCCTGTGATTGGCACTCTCCTATCTCTACAATCATGAGCCATTTTCTTGATATAAACTTCTCTTTACATATATATATGAGTAGCACTGATTTTGTTTTTCTAAAGAACTGCCTAAGGCACACACCTTTGTCCTCAAACTAACAGCTTTGCTCTTGAACACTTTAAAGTTGTCTTTTGAAGCAGATTTGCCTAATGCAATACATCATTTGATTTATTGACTGCTGCTTCCAGGAGCATTGACTGTGAACCCAAGCAAAATGAAGTCTTTGGAAACGTCAATCTTTTTCCCGTTCATCATGATGTAATGTTTTGGTCCAGTTGTGAGGATTTTAATTTTCTTTACATGAAGGTGTAATCTGTAGTAAAGGCTGTATAGTCTTTGATCATCATCAGTAGTACTTCAAGTCCTCTTTATTTCCAGCAAGCAAGATTGTGTCATCTGCATATTCCAAGTTGTAATGAATCTTCCGCTAATCTTTATACCATGTTCTTCATATAATCTAGCTTTTGGATTATTTGCTCAACATACAGATTGAATAAATATGATGAAAAGATACAACCTTGGCACATTCTTTCCTGATTTTAAACCGTTCAGTATCTCCTTGGTCTGCTCTAATGACTGCTTCTTGGACTATGTGCATGTTTCTCAGGAGCACAATTAAGTGTGATGGAATACCCATTCTTCTCTGGTGTTACCCATAGTTATGATATGCACAGTTGAATGCCTTTGAAAAGTCAGCAAAGTACAAATAAACATCTTTATGGTATTCTCTGCTTTCAGCCAAGAGCTAGTAGACATAACATAAGAAATGATATCCCTAATTCCACATCCTCTGCTGGATCCGGCTTGAATTTATTTTTTTTTCTTAACTTTTTACTGTGAATTAAGTGAAAGTTTGTAGACAAGATCATCAACTCTACATTCAACAATAATACATTTTATTTCATCTCAATGATTACAATTCCCTCCATGCAACAACAGTTATCCCACTTTCTCCTTGTGATTCCTGTTTGCATTTGACCTATCTTCCCATCCCTTCTCAACTTTATCCTTAGGAAAATGTTGCCCTTTTGATCTTGAATAATGACCATTCCATGGGGAGTATACCTTACTAGTATTGTCTGTCCGCCCCTGTAAACTTATTGACTGTTTTACTGAAAATTGGGCCACAAGGGCGAGTTCCTGTCCAGGCCTGAAGGGAGATCCAGGGCCACAGTCTCAGCTTCCTCCAGTCTCTTTCTGACAAGTAAGCCCAATCTTTAAAGTAATAATAATATTTTTTAGAATTTTTGGAAGCTCCTTGATGTACTACTGCAGTTGTTTTTGAATTATCTCCAACAAAATTTTACTTGCATGTGACATTGATGATATTGTTTGATGATTTCTACATTCCATTAGCTCACCTTTCTTTGGAATGGGCATAGATATGGATCTCTTCCAATCTGTTAGCCAGGTATCTGTCTTCAAATTTCTTGGCATAGATGAGTGAGCACTGCCAGGATTATATCAGTTAGTTGAAACAGTTAAAATTGTTCATTCCTAAAGCGTTGTTTTTCCCAATGTCTTCAATGCAACTTAGACTTCTTTCTTCAGTATCATCCGTTGTTGATCATATGCTACATGTTGAAATGATAGAACATGACCAATTCTTTGGGATACAGTGACTCTGAGTATTCCATCCATCTTCTTTTAATGCATCATTCAATATTTTGCACATAGAATTCATCAGTATTTCAAGTCAAAGTTTGATTTTTTTCTTCAGATCTTTCAGCTTGAGAAAGGCTGAGCATGTACTTCCCTTTTTATTTTCTAACTCTAGGTCTTTGCATATTTTATTATCATATTTTACTTTGCCTTCTCAAACTACTGTTTGTATTATTCCCGTCATCGCTTTTCCTTCATTTGTTTCAATTGCCTTGGCTTCTCTATGTTCAACATGTATTGATAATTACTGGTAATTGGAATGTGATGCTTGACAAAAAAGACAAAGTACCAGTAGTTGGAAAATATGGCCTTAGTGGTAGAAATCATGCTAGAGATTGCATGACAAAATTTTACAAGACCAATTATTTATTCATTCATCTCTAGTCATATTTATCAACTACTGGCCCTTTCTCTTGGTTTCCAACCTTCATATTCCAATCACCAGTAATTATCAACACATCTTGATCACATATTTGATCAGTTTCTGACTGAAGAAGTTCATAGAATTCTTCAGTTTCATCATCACTGACTTCAATGGTTGGTGGGTATATTTGAATAATAATGATATTAACTGGTCTTCCTTGTTGTTGTTATTAAGTGTAATCAAGTCAGTTCCTATTCATAGGGTTTGCGAGGAGCAAAAAGCAGGTTTGAACTGCCACCCTTGTGGTTCACCGTCCAGTGCTCATCCTATAGTGCCACACCAGGAGTCTGGTCTTCCTTATAGGCATGCAGATACTATCTTCTCCACATATTTCTGCTATTGTTTCATGCCATTGAGTCGTTCTGACCCATAGCGATCCTGTAAAGGGTTTCTGAGGAGCAGCTGGTGAACTTGAACCGCCCACCTTGTGGATCAAACTGATTTTACAGTCCAGCACATTACCCCATAGTGCCACACCAGGACTACAGTCACTTCTGTTATGCATAGTATAAAATGTGCACTGATTTCAAAAGCTTAGAACAAAATAAAATAATCTTTTAAAAAGACTCGATAATATTTGTTTATATTATTGAAATAGTATTTGTGGCATGTTAGGCAAAATATTTTGGAGTTCTAGTGTGACACTATAAGATAAACACTGGACTTTTAACTTTAAGGTAGACAGTTTAAACCCAACAGCCACTCCAAGGACACCCTATACACAGTCACTCTGAGTCAGAACCAACTCAACGGCACTTAACAACAATGACAAAATTAGCTTCATTTATTTATTTGCACTTTGTAAGACAGCTAATAGTAAAATTTAAATTATATATTTGTATTCTCACATTCTATTTCTACTGGGCAGTGCTGGCCTGGGGAACCCCTTCTTAACTCCATTCCTTCTCCTACTCTTGTCTGCGTCCTCTGATTTATTCTCTACAAAGACAGCCAGAGTGATTTTCCTGTAACATCAAGTGAATCATCTCACTTCCCTAAAACCCCAGCAGCTCCTGGCACAGCTCAAATAAAGTTTGAGTCCTCCCTACAGTCTATATTGTTAGTTGTTGTCTTGTCACTTCTGACTCATGGTGTTCCACGGTGTGTAAAGTAGAATTGTGCTTCACAGGGTTTTTAATGGCAGATTTTTCAGAAGTGGACCTCCAGGTCTGTCTTGCAAGGAACCTCTGCATAAGTTCAAACTGCCAATCTTTGGACTAGTAGCTGAGCACTGAACAGTCGATACGTCTCTGTTGATCTGTTCCCTGTTACCTGGGTGCCTTGTCTCCCACCTCCTCTGGCTCAGCCATTCTATCCTAAGTATGTTGGCTTCAGTGCTCTTCTCTAGGCAGGACAACTGTGTGCCCACTTCAGGACTTTAGTCTCTATCTACCTGGAACTCTTGGTCCCCAGACATCTGCAAGCCACTTTCCCTTATATTTTTCAGGTCTCAACCTTAAATTCATTCTTTACCCATCCCATCTAAATCAGAAACCCCTCCTCCATCTCTTCTACCTCAGTCCCCTACATTAGTCCCCTACCACTCCCCTACATTAGTTTTCTTCATGTTACTTATCATTACCTACTGATGTATTATATGATATATTTTTATTTGTTTGTGTATCTTTTTTATTTTCTAATAGAAAGTCAAACTCATTGCTTCCAAGTCAGTTTTCACCCATAGTGACCCTGTAGGGCAGACTCCTTTGTGGCACTGTAGGATCCGCACTGGACTGCGAATCACAAGGTCAGCAGTTCAAACCTACCAGCTGCTCCTTGGAAATCCTACACAGAGTCTATGAGTCAGAACTGACTCAGTGGCTCTTAACAAGACAGACTGCCATGAAGTTCTCAGATGGAGCAGCTGGTGGGTTCAAACTCCTAACCTTTTAGGTAGCAGTCAAGTACTTGGCCACTGCACCACCAGGGCTCCCTTTGATAGAATGCAACAGAATTCAATAGAATAGAACTTATTTCTATAATTTGTTTTCTTATATGGAAAATGGAGAGAGGCAGCAGAGGGCTGGATTACAATGCAAGCTCCAGTACAGCACATGCTCCAAGAAGACAAGAATTTTATCTTTTATCTCTGTATATCACAGATGTTCAATGAATACTTGTTGAATAACTGAATGAACAAATGGTAGGAATTCAATAAATATTTGATGAACAAATGGATTAAAATGAAAGGGGGTCTAAAGGTCCTAAATGAGGGATTTTAGAGAGGTGAGGCATGATCAAGTTGGAAAATCATGGCATGAAGAGAAAAAAAAGTAGATGTAGACACTGTTAACATTTTAAGAGTATGTTTATTATCTCTTATCTCTCAGGCGAGGGTGAGCTTTAATGAGGGGATGAGAGGTTCTCTTGGGACATTGCTGGGAAAGAAATCCTAGGAGAGCTTCTTACTCTTTGTGGATATTTTCGTGGGCAGTCTCCAGCACTTTGGCCACCAGGACAATGAACTCTACAAAGTTGACCTGTCCATCTTTATCAGAATCCAGCTCTTGGAATATCTTGTCAATGGCACCTTGGTCTTTAGTGTTCTAGAAGGAATTCATAGCAGAGATTGTGAGCTCAGAACTGTCCCCCACCCCCCAAAAAAACCTTCTTTCCTCAGGCCCTCCACCCCTCAAAGTTCAGTTTGGGAGGACCTAGAAACATTAACTCATTAACCAAAACTGTAGTGGCTAATTTCATGTGACAAAACAAAAGGAGAGAAGACACTGGTGAACCATCCTGGAATCATATAAGGTACTCCAGAGCTCACTTCATCAGACACCCAACTCCCTTTGCTTTACATATGATTAAACAGATTCCAGAAAGAGGAAATGCATGCATTCTAATGAGACAGGTGAGCTACCGAGAGAGGGAAGCTGAGCACCTGCCCTGCAGCTGACAGGCTCTACTGGAGCTGTCCTTTCCCCTAGTCCTTGCCCCACCATCATCCTCCTGGCCTTGACACTGCCCTCCGTGCAGAAGAGCAGAGCAGCTTGAGATAAAGGGGCATCACCTACCTTGAGGGTGTTTGGAAGTTCTTTTGTGATCAGCTGCTTCATCTCATTCTTAGAAAGGGTGTCAAAATGGCCCACCCTCACTGAGTACTGGTGAAAAACATTGATAATGCCTTCCAAACAGTCTTCCAGCTTCGTCATCTTCCCAACCTCAAGTTAAGCTGTGAAGAGACACAGGAGATTCAGCAATGCCCTGCACACCGCATCCACTCTTTCCTCACTTTCTGCAATTGGCTGATATAGAAAAGGATATGATTTCCCAGGATCTGTATTGTGATCTCTTAGTTCTGTGTTTAATCTGTCCTGAACTTTTCATTTTTGGATAGGATGAGGAAAAAGACAAAAGCACTGGACTGCGAACCACGGGATCAAGAGTTCAAACCCACCAGTTGCTTCATGGAAGAAAGACTAGGCTTTCTGCTTCTGAAAAGATTTATAACCTGGAAAACCATATACCGGGTGGCTATGAGTTAGAACTGACATGACAGCACTTAACAACAACAAAATTAAAAGAATCAGCCTGGATGGTCCAAGTGTTCCATCATACCACATCCACCAAGGCAGATTAAAGCTTACTCAAGATAACCTGAGAAGGATTCTGTGGTTAATCAGGTTCTTCACATTCCCAGGTGATGATGTCTGGGGCATATACTCCTGACACCTTCACCATCACAACCCACCTTGTTGTTGTACTTGTTGAGTGCTTTGCCTTCCAGCTATTCAAACTCATAGAGACCCTGTATAAGGTTTCTGAGGAGTAGGTGTTGCATTTGAACAGCTGAACTGTGGTTAGCAGCCCAGTGCTTATCCTACAGCGCCACACCATTGGACCTTTGTTGTTGTTGTTAAGTGCCATCAAGTCAGTTACGACTCATAGCAACCCAGTATAGGGTTTCCAAGGAGAGGCTGATGAATTTGAACTTCCAACCTTGTGGTTCAAACTGACCTTGTGGTCTTGCACTTATCCTAATACTAGATCTTGTTGATGTTGTTTAGTGCTGTCTAGTGCCATTAAGTCAGTTACGACTCATAGCATTCCAGTATAGGGTTTCCAAGGAGTAGCTGGGGAATTTGAACCTTGTGGTTCAAACCAGCATTGTGGTCCAGTGCTTTACCTTACAGTGCCACACCAGGACTCCAAAGGGCATCTGCCTCACCATTGGGGAATCGAGCCTCAGTTTCCTTCATGACAGGTGGGGATAGTCACCACTAAACTAACAAGGATGATAGATTTTAGCCATCCCCAAATCCTGAGACTGGGGCTACCTAACACAGCAAGAGTTAATCCACTTGGGACAAAATGCAATCAACCCAGAGGTGCTCAGGTGAACAATGACTAGTAGCTTCCTAAAGCCTAAAGCCTGCAGAGTGACCACCACCCTCTGTACCCAACCCATCACCACCCTCTGTACCCAACCAAAGAAAAAGCATTTACCTCTCAGTGCACAGGCAGAGCTGAAGCTATAGCAAGAAGTCACACTAGTGGTGGACACTGAACCAGGGAGGTTTATATAAGACACTCAAGACTTTACCTTTATTGGGAGTGAAGAAATTCTCTTAAATGATTCATCATGAGGCAATTGTGGGCATACTTCATTGCTCAAGAAAAGCTTCTGACCTGTGGCTTTGACTGCAACATGGGTAACTCAGTTTGCACCAATACTCATTTCACTCCTATTCATCCTGAAACAAAATCCTCGCCCTTCCTTCTCCTCCTTCCCTCCGGCACACATACACCCCTCTGCTGCACATCCTTAGTCTCTGGACAGGGCCCGACTTGCAGGGTCCTGCCTGGAAAGGAAGCATAGGAAGAGACATTTGTTGATTATCTATTACAGCAAAAATTATAATGATAATAAAATTGAGTATGTACTCCTTAAAGAGAAGAGGAACATTCGATAAAAACTAAGATCTGTGAATGGATTTGAGTTAATGATAATGTCTTAATGTTGTTATTGTTAAGTGCCATCAACCTTGTGGTTTGCAGTTCAGCGCTCGATCCTACAGTGCCACACCAGGAGTCCAATATCTTAATATTGGTTCATTAATTCTAATAAGGAATCCCGGTATGGTGCTGCAGGATAATGTGCTAGACTACAAGGTCAGTTTGAACCACAAGGTCACAGTTCAAACCCACGAGTCACTCCTTGGAAACCCTAGGAGTTTCCATACAGGGTTGCTATGGGTCAGAACCGACTTGACAGCAGTTATAAACAAGAACAACAGTTCTAACAAAGGAGTCCTGGTGTGACACTATAGGATCGAGCGTATAAGTATTCAGTAGGCCTCAAGGTTGGTTTGAACCTCAAGGCTGATGGTTCAAACTTATGAGTGACTCCTCAGAAACCCTAAATAGGGTCACTATGAGTTGGAACCAACTCAATGACACTTATCAACAACAACAATTCTAACAATACCTGGAAGAAAGACCTAGCAATCTGTTTCCCTAAGGATTGTTTATATTGTTTGATGCTGTCAAGATGACCCATATTAACCTTTAGCACAACAAAAGGAAACACTGCCCTGTCCTGCACCATCCTCACAGTTGATCAGTTTATTTAAAACTCCCAACCAAAAAAAATTCCAGACCTAGAAGGCTTTACTAGTGAATTCTATCAAATATTCACAAAAGAGCTGGCAACAATTTTACCTAAACTATTCTAGAACATAGGAAAGGATGGGAAATGCCTCAATCCATTTTATGAAGTGATCATAACCCTCATCCCCAAAGCAGGCAAAGACATTTTTTTTAAAATTATGCCAAAAGAACCAACAGATCCGTGTTGCAAGAAGTGCACCCAGAGAGCTCCTCGGAGGACAGGATGGCCAAACTTTGTCTCTCATACTACGGATATATTGTCAGGAGGGGCCAGTCGCTAGAGAAGGATATCATGTTTGGTAAGTTGGAGGGTCAAAGAAAAAGAGGAAGACCCCCAGTGAGATGGATTGGCCAAGTGACAGCATCAATGGGCTCAAGTGTGATAACAGTAATGAGGCTGGCCCAGGATCGGGCAGTGTTTCGTTCTGTTCTGCATAAGGTTGCTATGAGCGAGTACTGACTCAATGGCACCTAACAACAACAATCCTTAATGAACATTGGTGTTGAGTTGGCCCTGATTCATATCAACCTTATGCATAACTAGAGGAAACATTGCCCAGTCCTGCACCCTCCTCACAGCTGTGATGTTTGAGCCCATTGTTGCAGTTACTGTGTCAATTCATATCATGAAGTTTCTTTCTCTTTTTTGATGATCCTCTATTTTTACCAAGCATGATGTTCTTTTCCAGCTCAGAAGTATCAGGTATTTGGTTTGTGTATCAATAGGGAAATTACCACCTGAACGAGACAGGTGGTAATTCCCCTCTTTCCCAGGTTCCCTGTAGGGTTCATCAGGTGCCCAAGAAAAATCCGTTCTCAAATGAACTCATTGTTTCCTATTAGGCATACCAATCCTTGCTCTGAGAGGAAGGAATTTTGATAGAGTTGACTGTCCTTTAAAAAAAAAAACAAAAAAAAACTAGATATTTTTAGGTAAGAAGGTTTGTGTAACAGAGACCCTCTGATGGTAGATAGAAGCAAGATAAGTGCCCAGATGAGGAGAACTATGGCAAGTTGTACAGAATAGACAAGGCAGAACATTATCCATTATCCTTAAGCAGTTCATATTTTGTTATTTTGGACAATGATGGTAGGATTTCTACTCTATGACTCCTGTAGTATAGTCAGCAGAACTATTGGCTAACAGGGGGGAAAAAATCTCCAGGAGAAATGAGGTAAGATAGACCTACTGGCACCACCCAGAGACATAGGAAAATATCTCTGAAGTCAAATTGCTATGAGAATAAGAGAAGACTACCAGTAAACCGATGACACAGAGCAAAAGCTATTTCAGGAACAGCAAATATCTGCTGAGAGAAACTCTTCCAGACACAGCTTCCTTGTATGTTTGGGTAATAATGCTTGATCATTGTAGAAGGAACTAAAAGGAGAATACTTTTTGCCCAATACAAAGTACCACAGAGTCAGGATAGAGACATGGCATGTAATTTTGTTAAAAGTTTGATTTATGGGGATAAATGTGCTGTTGACTCCATACAGTTGTGCTGATATAGGCTGAGCTTGTTGCTTTCAAATTCTTGGGCAACACATAGTGGTTGGCAAAATTTTCTCAGGGTAAAAAAAAAGCAAATGTCACATTTTTTTTTAAATCTGCTGAAAAGTTGATTCTCTAGGAAGACCAGAATAAAAAATAAAAAAGGGAAGTGCATCACAAATTATTTAATATATTTTTCCCACGGAACAGCTGGTAGTTTTGAATTGCTGACCTTTAGGTTAGCAGCCCAAGTTGTAACACTGTGCTATCAGAGCTCCATATTTTGTCCATAGAATCCTTCAATATTGCAAGTAGAGGCTTGAATTTCTTCTTCAGTTCCCTCAGCTTCAGAAATGCTAAGTGTGTTCTTCCCTTTTGGTTTTCTAACTCCAGATCTTCAGACATTTTGTTATATTTGACTTTGTCTTCTCAAGCTGACCTTTAAATTTTCTATTCAGCTCCTTTTCCTCCTCATTTCTTCCATTTGCATTCACATCACTATACTGGAGTATAAGTTTCAGAGTCTCTTCTGACATCCATTTTGGTCTCTTCTTTCTTTCCTGTCTTTTTAATGAACTTTTGCTTTCTTCCTGGATGATGCTTTTCATGTCATCCCACAACTCTTCTGGTCTTTGGTCATTAGTGTCTAATGTATCAAGTCTGTTCTTGAGATGGTCTCTAAATTCAAATAGGATATAGTCAAGGTCATATTTTGCTCTTGTGGACTTGTTTTAATTTTCTTCAGCTTCATCCTGAGCATGTATATAAGCAGTTGATGACCTATTCCACAATTGGCCCCTGGCCTTGTTTTGTCTGATGATCTTGAGCTTCTCCATCATCTCTTCCTATGTATGTAGTCAACTTGATTCCTGTGTATCCCATCTGGTGAGGTTCATGTGTATATAATTGCCATTTTTGTTGTTTAAAATAAGTCTTTGCAATGAACAAGTCATTGGTCTTGCAAAATTCTATCATGCATTCTCCAGCATCATTTCTATCACCAGGGCCATACTTTCCAATTACTGATCCTTCCTCTTTGTTTCCAAA